CTTTGACCGGCCATTATTTCGAGCCCTGTAACACACAATATATTTAATTTTAACAAAATTTATTACATCACAAACAAGGTGCTAACCTCTTCTGGACAGTCTTGTATCACTGTCTGTGTCAACAAACAGCTTCATATCAAGTAGATCTCTTATTTCTTTTGAATATAAAGTTAGTATTCCTTCAAATAGGATGACATCTGTACTGGGGTATATCAAGGAAACTTTCTGCTCTCTGAAACAATAATTATCAAAAAATAATCAAGTGATAATACAGGAAAGGAAAAATTGATATTTCAACAGGAATTAGCACTTATAATGTTTACACTCCAGAGGGATAAAATTGTATTATAAGCTTTACAAAAATTGTCTGGAACCTCGTCAGGGGCTTGTCTAAGATATTTTAATAGATATTTTAATAGATATTTTAATATGGGCTTGTCTAAGCCCCTGACAAGGTTCCAGCCAATTTTAAAACAATAAAAAAAATTAAATTTTAAAACAATAAGAGGTGTGACTTTTGTATGATTTCAATAGAATCAGAGCATGAAATCCACAATTCAAAAGCAAAAGATAAAAACTTAGAAATAAAAGCGTAATTTTACATGTAACTCTTTCATCTTCTGACATAAACTTTCTCTTTAGTGGAATGACTCAAGAAAACAAAACTTCTCGCAGAAACATCTTAATAGATCAAATACTTGAATTACTAGAAATTTTGAAATCAGCCATTTTCATGCAAGTAGCACTTTTAGGAATAAAAAAGAAAAAAATAAATAAACAGGGGAGGAGTGGTAGGGCCCCATTTACTTACCTTGTCGATGCAATGTGAAAGTCATAATTAGGTATTTCAACACATTTTCCTGCAGTAATTCTTTTAATGGTATCAAAGTTCTTTTCAAGATCAAAAGCATCTACAGATTGAGAAAAAAATTGGATGAAAGATGAAAATACATGCATATGGAATTGTCAAACACTTGATAAAAAAGAAGACAGGAAATACTGCAAATAATATATCTGTGAAGTGCAGTAGATAGAGAGCAAGCAGGAAAAGAATGAAAAGTTCTCACCAAATAGTGCTAAATAGCGCAACCTAGTGTATATTAGAAAATAGAAAGCTGGGATTGACATAGCCTCTTTTGCAGGCTACTCCAATGGAAACTTTTTAGAACTAGTATTAGCTTCCTACTTCGAGGTTTTAGTGTTGTTCCCTATCTATTATCTAAAAAATGTTATAGTTTTATAGTAGACCAATGCACTTAATCTGTGAAACAAATAGTACTAATTTCTACTAAATAAAAAACAGAGCCATTAGTATAATTATCATTATTTTGTATTTTTTAGCAGATTAAGTGTGTAGTCTCTCTGCTATTGCATGCACAATATTTTCATTTTTTTACCAGGGTGATCAAAGTTAAATTCTCCTCTGTGAGCTTCTTCCAATTCTTCCTCATTGAGTTCACGATAGAAACTCTCCTGACTTATGATAGCAACCCTTCTTTGTTTGGAGTCAACGTCTTCCTGGCCTAGCTGTTCCATTATTCTTGCACACACAGATGACTGTTGATGTAATAACCAAATTGWAGAAATATCATTAAAAAAGCATTATTTGTTTTGATAGGGGAACATGTAATTAATCACAAAACTACAAAGCATTATTTTATAACATCTTTAATGGACATAGCTGTCCATCATATCCAAAAGTTCAGTCAATTTAATATT